TCAAACGATTCGTACGACGTTGTTGTTAGATGAAACACTCAATCATTGATGAACTCGTTGGGCAATCGTGGTTCCTCTCAATTCGTGAGGGAAATTTCTTCGCTAACAAGAACAGAAACGAAGTTATCAGAGAGAAACGAAAATAATCTTCCACGCGATCGGATGCAAGGGCGAATTAGCAGATTCGTAACGTGGTAGCCAGTTAACCGAAGAGGGGGACTAATCCGATTTGCATTTAATCAGTACGCGAACTACGCGATGAATATTCAAAACAAACGTTTTGCTGGGTCGTTGAGTTGTTGCGTTAGGCGTTTTGCTACCGATGTATCTATCCTTCGTATTATATCTTATGCCACGCGATCTGTATGTTTCATTCTGTTTTTACTCCGTTTCAAAATATGAAACGTGACGAGGATTTTTCCTAGAAAGTGCTTAGATTTAAAGCGGCAAACTATTACTTTGGAATAACTATTTTTCTTCAGATATTTTATCCATCTTAAATTTGAATGAAACTTTAACATTCCTTTTTCTCGCACGAGAGATGAAGCCGATGGTAATTATAAATGTTTGAAAAAATGGAAGAACAGTGTCTCGCACTAATTCTCCATTTGTCGAACGCATTAACACATTACACACGAAACACATCACACACGTGATATCTCGTGTTTGTTTGTCGTACGTTGTTGCTTGCAGATGGATCACGAGATATCTCGTGCTTTATTGCCAATGAATATTCATTACTCTGTATCAATGGCATAACAATTTAATTTTAATTTTTTAGCAAATTTGCTTTACTTAATTGCGCTGCATATGCTTGTCACGTTTACGAGCAATATTGCTCATTCATTCCGGTACACGTTTCAGTGCAAATGTTCTTCCTCCGAAGCAATAACAGTTGCGGCAACAGTTTCAATAATAAATCTAAATTGTTCAATTGATAATTGTAAATTGTTAAATCAATTCGTGAATATCGCGGAACGTCTTGAAAAGAATCTTCGAAAAAATTTAGAACCAAACTTATAAAAATTTACACCTAATGAAACAACGATTAATTAAATTTAGGAAAAAAAGTTACTGTGCAAGTACAACGCGAAGAGAGCCGCGCCAGAGAGATTAGAAAAGTTACGTGGCGCGTAATTTTTGTTCAAAGTTGAAATTAAATGGCGCAAAGTTTTGTCCGCTTGTAATTAAAATAGGAAACGAGGGGAGTGGAAAAAGAGTGGATGTATCTTTGAAGTGCAAACAGAAATACGAATTTTGGGAAATTGTTTGCGTTACGTACAAAACGTGAGGTTCCATTAAACCGAGGTGAAAATGGCTTTCCTGCCTCCGGCTGTTCCATTATTAATTTTCTCTCTGTTCTTTTAATAAAACGCTGAAAATAAGAACAGGGACATCGTCGAATACACGTAATTGTTTTTAGAAATTATAAGCACAAAGTGTATAACAGATAGAAAAATTATATTCCTGTCTCGTTAAAACGCTCGAGAAGAATTATTCTATCCCATGGTATATATGTATATATAATGTCGTTTTTTTTTTTTTTATACTGTACAAAATTTTATTTCATTTAAATTATTTCTTTTTTAAATCACTAGACGGCATTGTTTTTTAAATTTGAAAAGAAAAAACGACATTACTTATGGGTACTCCTAATACCCATAGATGCTTTTGTTTGTAATGTGTAGATTTCTGGGAATTTTAGGATTATGGATTAGTTTCAGAAATAATTCGTTCAATGAACAGTTTGAATTATACTTAAATTGCTCAAGTTCGAATGGATATTTTATTTTTTATTCTACATCGTATAAAGTGTGAACGTCGCGCTTGCAGCCTTCATTCTCGCAAATATTTTCAAACAACGTGAATGATTAAATGATACTGTAAAATAAAAAAAAAGAAAAAATTCGTCTCCACGTCCAAAAATTTGTTTCAACGTGATATTATCCGAAAATTAAATATCCTGTCTCGGAGAAGGCAAGGCGTGTAAATTTCACGTGTCGAGTAACCTAACCGCGTTCACCATATGATCCTCCAGAGACACGAATTCGAAAACTGACGCAAAATCCCGCGTCTTTTTCGATTAAAAGGAGAGAGAAAGAATCCCTGTGTCCACACTGCTGAACCGTGAGTAACGCGAGGGAAGAATCGACACGAATGTTTGGAATCGCAGCGAATGCAGGGCGCGTTGTTTCCGTCGAATGAGAACGAGAACGAGAGTGCGGCACGGTGAAAAGTGTGACACTCTCGACGAGGGAAAGCTCGCAGGAAACGAGAAGCACGAGAAAGAGAGGGAGATGAAAGCCAGTGGCTGGCGTGTAGGGGCCGGAGTTATAATTTCGCAGCGAACGCGGGGATTAAAAGGGGGGAAAAGCGGCCGAGTCGTTGGTCGTCCCGCGGCGTCCCGTTTCCGACGTTCACGGACGAGCCTCTTCAAGAAAGCTCATCCTCTTAGTAGCCTGTTAAATATTCACGAGGAGCGGCCGTTTGAGCGTGCGTTACCGAGTCGACGAGTTGCGGGACCACCGGGGCCGGATGGCTTCGCTGGGCGTCGAGTTTACGAGCCTCTCGAGAATCAGCTCGTTTTTCCTTCTCCGTCTGCTTTCCCTTTGCCCTCGTAGGCTACCTCGCCGGCCAGACAAAAGGCTCGTTAAGATTTCTCCCTTCCCCGTACAGATTACTGCGCGCTCGATTAAAACGGCCGCGAGCTTTCGTCAAATCTCCCATCAGCTCGCGGATCGCTTGTTTGTGCGTCTGGTTTCATGCAATTTTTTTTGGCGCGAATTCCATCCACGCGGATTATTCATTCCAGTAGCGTTTGCTGCGAGGATGTCTCACGTTTGTAGAGAAACAATAGCGGAACGTATAATAGTAGAAAGAATAATCGTCGATATTTAAAACAGTTGTAACTTTGTGAAAGAAATCGTGCAACAATTCATTTGATTTGACAGATTGAACGTCCGTTTCTTCTCGAAAGTGGAACATTTAAATTCGCGAAAATTATCAAAATTCGGACGTCCCTAAAGAACGTTGAAAAAATATGTATTCGTCAGCAGGTCCATCATGATCCTTCGAAATTTGTTGCACCAGATTTCTTCCCACCATTTTATTGAACTTTGAACATTAAGATTAGACGACGATATTTCAATATTTTCTCGAATAATTTTGTTTCATGGTTCCTCGAAGAGTACAGAAACATCCTTCATCTAAAATTATGACAGTATAATTGTATGTACTATGTCTTGTTTAGACAAGATTCGATATTCCAATTTTTAAAATGATGTCGATCGTTAATTAATTTACTCG